GGATGGTCTCGATCTCCTGACCTCGTGATCCACCCGTCTCGGCCTCCCAAAGTGCTGGGATTACAGGCTTGAGCCACCGCGCCCGGCCGCTCCTCTGTGATCTTTTCACGCTGCCTGGTGAAAGCTGATTGAAGTTGGTGTTATTGTTACGTTATGACTTTTAGAAACCTGATCCCCTTGGTGACTCAGTCCATAGACTATGCCCTCTTTCTTCCCCAAAACTAATGATCAACTTTTTAAATATGTAGCTTAGAAAGTCAAACAGGTCAGAACTTACTTTGCTTCAGTGGTTCCTCCGTTGGGACACTAAGAAACAACTTGTGAAAGTGCATATTGGCCTTGTACTATAATGAGAACAAAATACAAGCATCACCACTCTCACTTTCTTGTGAAACATCACAAATTCAACTTCAACAACAAATTTTCCCTCCCTTAATAGTATCTTTAGGAATTCCTTCTCACTGATCTTACGTCTCTGACACAAGCCTTCAGTAAAACACAGTGAAAGTCAGGGCACACAAGTTTCATTTTCTAACAAGTTTAATGCTTTGCTGGTTGGATATAATGATGCAGCTGCTAGTCAGCCTACTGCTGAGGAAACAGGGCTAGACAAGGATGTCCCTAATCAGAAAGGGGATGAAATTTTAAGGAATCTCATTAGGGAGGGTACTGGATCCCAGGTACTAAACGTACCAGCGAGTACTCTCAGAAGAGTACAGTGGTTCAAAGCTTTGTAGTTAGGTAAACCTGAGTTGAAGTCTTGGCTGTAGTGGCTCTAGCTCTTGGTGTGTGACCATGGCTTAGTCCCTTTATCTCCCTGGGCCTTGGTTTCCTTTTCTGTACCAGAGGGCAAAAACAGTACCTGCCTCAAGGTATGCCATAAGGCTTAAATGGGATAATACACATAAAGGACCTATAGTCTAAGGCAACATATGGCCACTCTTCCTACTGTATTATTGTGAAGGCATTTCCTTAGCCAGTGACAGAAGTAGGATGCAGTAGGCTACTGTCAAGACAAGTAGGATTTCATACAAAGACTTCACTCTCCAGGGCAGCAGAAAGCCCAAGACTATGAAAGCTGCAAATCACTTCATTTTCAAGGGATCTGTTTTCACAACTGTGACAATAACAATGGGTAGCCAGCAATTTACAGATTGTAAAACACTTTCATCTGCATCATACAGCTATTAAGAGGTAGAACTGTTAGCTGGATGTGGTGGCATGTGTCTGTAGTCCTAGCTACTTGGGAGACTGAGGCAGGAGGATCTCTTGAGCCCAGGAGTTCAAGCCTGCAGTGAGCTATGGGGTATAACTGGATCCTCTCTCCACAGCATCAATCTGCCTCATAGGATACTTCTGAAGAAAAATTTTTATAAAGAGAATGGGTAGGAGGCCCTGGATGGCTTATTATCCAAACCAAGAGTGGTCTCAATGGCAAAACTGGCCCTGTTTTACCATAAAGAACTACAGACCAGGTCATCAAGACGATAGATGGTCCCTGCAAGTCAGCTATTTTATAGATAAACACCTTGCAGAAAGATACCTTGATTAAAGCTGGGTGTTGTATGGCTTCACTGAGCTTTTGTTTTCAATGGCTACAGTGAGCAATGGTTGCACGCTTGATTTAAAATATGCTAGGCCATAAACTCTTCAAAAATGTCAACGTAAAAATTGGCAAAAGAGGTAGTGGGGCTGATTTCAATTAAAAGGGACATAGCAGGCTGAGTGCAGTGGCTCATGCTCCTAATCCCAGCACTTCGGGATGCAGAGGTAGGTGGATCGCCTGAAGCCAGGAGTTTGAGTCGAGCCTGGCTAACACGGCAACACCCTGTCTGTACTAAAAATACAAAAATTAGCTGGGTGTGGTGGTGCACATCTGTAATCTCAGCTACTCAGATGGTTGAGTCATGAGAATCACTTGAATCCGGGAGGTGGAGGTTGCAGTGAGCCGAGATCATGGCATTGCACTCCAGCCTGGGTAACAGAGCAAGACTCTGTCTCGGAAAAAAAAAAAAAAAAGAAAAGACATAGCAAATACATGCAGTATGTGACTCTTGATTGGATCCTGGAGAGGAAAAAAACACCTTTATAAAGGATATTTATTACCGGGACTACCATGGAAATTCAAAAGTAGATTTTATATTAATAATATTTTAATACATTTCATATTTAAATTTCTTGGGTGTGCCGATGGTTTTTGGTTTAGCTCTTAGGAGGCACATATTCAAGTATTTAGAGGGGTGAAGAATTAAAAAAAACCCAAACTCCTGGCCCCAGTACATGCATCACACTCTCTGATGACATAGAACTGGGTTTTGTTTCCTACCTGGGTGTATTTTAGAGCAGAACCAAAATTAGTTTGGAGAATAATCCTGACCTTGTTCAAAGGTCTTACTCCTCTGTGTGCAGTTGGCTGGCCTACTACTATTCAGGTAGATGCCTTATCAGACTCTTCAATTTCAGTACAAGGATGTCACAACTCCCCTTGTCTTGTTAATTATTGGATAAGCACATGACTCTGTGTTGGTCCCTAATCTCTGGGTATTTGTCAGAGTTCGAGGCCACAGCATGGAACTCATCACCACGCAATGTGCTGAAAAGTGAGTTGTGGAATATAACATTGATAAAAAATGGACTGGAGGAACTGCTGCCTGTTTGTTCCTCTAAATTGTCTAAACTCTATGCCTCTCTTAGTCTTGACCAGCAGGAAGGTGCATACTTGAGTTCCTTCTTGTCACTGGCTTCAATAGTCTTGTCACCCGCTAAGACAATACAAATTTCATTCTTAAATTACCTGGCCGGAAGATGAAGACTTTTTTCTTTCAGTCTTAGGGTCATTTTTGCTTTCTGTTTTACAGTCGTTCTTATCACTTGCTAAAGAGGCACCATCAAAACTGGATTTTGACCTAAAGAAAGAAAGTCCAGGGTTGTCTATAAGATAATTTTTTTTTTTTTTGAGACAGTTTTGCTCTGTTGCCCAGGCTGAAGTGTAGCAGCATGATCACGGCTCACTGCAACCTCCCCATCCAGGACTCAAGCGATCCTCCCACCTCAGCCTCCCAAGTAGCTGGGACTACAGGTGCGTGCCACCATGCCCAGCTCATTTTTCTGTAGAGATGGGGTTTCACCATGTTGCCCAGGCTGGTCTTGAACTCCTGGACTTAAGTGATCTACCCGCCTCGGCCTCCCAAAGTACTGGGATTATAGGCATGAGTCACCACACCTGGCCTATGAGATACATTTTTCATTAATTTATTGTAATAAATCTTGATGATTATACTATCGTCTAAGAAAACCTGACATTTGTTTTTCTTTTCTGGATATCAAAAATCATTCATGATACTCTGAGAGCATTTACACAGCACATGCTTTAGGACACTGGAAGGATTTCAGCAGGCTGTAATCAAAAACTGTAGAAATAGTAACTTATAGAGGGTGAAATAACGATCAAGTTGTGAAAATAATTATGTCATTTTAAAAGTATTTTAATCAGTATTTAAAAAGGAGTAGTTGAGGCAAACTACTAAATAGTATTGTGGCTATAGTTCAATCAAAGAATATTTTTGTTTCAGAATTCCACTAATATTTAACAAGTATTAATTGAGTGGGGCATTGTGTTAAATGTCTTGGGGCCCATAACACAGTCTTTGTCCTTAAGGCGCCTGTGTACGCATGCATCAAACACTTTTTTAAAAAGGCAGTACATGATTTAGCACCAAAACAAAAACAAAAACAAAAAAAAATATTACAGCAGTTAGGAGAAGGTATGGAGCCAATAAGTCTAACAGGAGGTGAGAGAAGAGGAAAACAGGCTGGGCACAGTGGCTCACGCCTGTAATCACAGCACTTTGGAAGGCCAAGGTGAGCAGACCACCTGAGGTCAGGCATTTGAGACCAGCCTGGCCAACATAGTGAAATCCCATCTCTACCAAAAGTACAAAAATTATCTGGGCATGGTGGTGCGCGCCTGTAGTCCCAGCTACTCGGGAGGCTGAGGCGGGAGAATCGCTTGAACCCGGGAGGCAGAGGTTGCGGTGAGCTGATATTGCGCCACTGCACTCTAGCCTCGGGGAGAGAGCAAGATTCTGTCTCAAAAAGATAAAAAAGTTAAATTTAAAAAAGTAAATAAAGAGAAGAGGAAAACAAGAGAATAATGTGGGCTTGAAATGCTGGGCCTAAGAGGATAAGCAAGAATCAGGTATGAGGAAAAGACACAACACATCCCGGAGTGGAAATACAATACAAGTGAAATCAGAAAAAAACAAAAATGAAACCAAAAACATGTGTGAAGCCAAATCTTCCTTTTTCCTGTTAAGGACAGAGGTCAGAGCTCCAGAGTTTCTTTCTAAGGCGATTCTAGTCCTGGTTTTTCATTTTAGTAGATGTGTGCATTTGTACGTGTCTTCAACCCTACGGCTAAAAGCAGTCGCTTCAAAGTAGCATGCATGGATGATTTTTGGAGTTATATATATAAATAAGTTTTACGATCGTGAAGTTGCTTTAATGTTTCTGGGAGGAAATGGCACATAAAATCCATGATTTCACGATATTATTCCTTAAAATGAAGTTCAGTTAAAAAAAAATTGGTTCAAAGTGGATTTAAGAACAATCTGAAGTAATTCAGGTGGAACATGGGTGTCACAGATAAACAGAAAGGACTGAAGTTAGAGAATCATGCTCTGGTTTTCTCAGCTGTGAAAAGATGGACTATATGATGTCTTCGGCCTCTTCTAGCCACTACAGTGTATGATTCCACAGTGCTCAAATCACAGGTCAAATACCCCTCAGCTGTTCAAGGCAAATGAATTTAATTTCAGACACAGGCCATTTAAGCTATTCACAGTTGTAAATTCCCTGGGAATTCTAGGGATTACTTTTTTTTGGAAGCTATGAAAAAACATTTGTTCTCTATTTGAAAATAAAACTATCTGTACAAATGTCAACTTACCTTTTATTTATACTATTCACAGATTTGAATTCATCATCTCTACTGATTCAAATCAATAAATGTTAATGGAATGGGCAAGGAAATGATCAGACTGTTTGAAGATCCATGGCCTGCAAGCAAATATGACAAGTAGGGTGGCTCTACCCTTGATAATTTCAAAAGGCAGAAGCAATAAGGGGGTTCATCTGCATGACACTGACCCCTGTGGACAGGGTATGTATGTATATAATATTGATTTCTTTGGGTCTTTCCAACCCTGTTATTCTCACTTCCTACAGGTGACAAGAAGCCCAGTGCAAAATGAAAATGTGGGGTCCCTTATATAAAAATTAATTAATTAATCTTTTGAGACAAAGTCTCACACTGTTGCTGAGGTTGGAGTGGCACAATCTTGGCTTACTGCAGCTTCCACTTCCTGGGTTCAAGCAATTCTCCTGCCTCAGCCTCCCGGGTGCATGCACCACCACACCTGGCTAATTTTTGTATTTTTAGTAGAGACGGGGTTTCACCATGATAGCCAGGCTGGTCTTGAATCCCTGACCTCAAGTTATCCACCTGCCTCAGCCTCTCAAAAGTGCTGGGATTACAGGTGTGAGCCATCACGCCCGGCCCCCTTACATAAAAATTATTAAGCATTTCTGGATAGCAAGAGGGGAGCATTAAACCAAGTGTGGGCCCTTTCCAGCTGCACAGACCACATGCCCATGAAGTGTAGCAAGCATGCCCTGTGAGAGTGTATTATTATTACTGAAGCCTGGGGAAGTTGGAGTAAAACCAACAGTGTTTTTAAGGTGCCTGCTGTAGTCAGCCAACAGTGGTGAAAGACATGAGAAATAACGTGCCTTGTGCCTTTGTGAAGAGAAGCATTAGGTGAGGCTTTGAGGGGAAACAACTAGAGGAAAAAAAATGGTTAAACTGAGATGCTGGCCAGGCGCAGTGGCTCACGCCTGTAATCCCAGGACTTTGGGAGGCCGAGGCCAGTGGATCACCTGAAGTCAGGAGTTCAAGACCAGCCTGGTCAACATGGTGAAACCCTGTCTCTATTAAAAGCACAAAAATTAGGTGCACGCCTGTAGTCCCAGCTACTGGGGTGGCTGAGGTAGGAGAATCGCTTGAACCTGGGAGGCAGAGGTTGCTGTGAGCTAATGTGCCACTGCACTCCAGCCTGGGTGACAGAGCGAGACTCCGACTGGAAAAAAAAAAAAAAGCGAGATGCCACAAAACAGCATGCAGGAAAGATGAAGAGATAATTGGGAATTAGGGTCAGAAGAGGAAAATTTGGGGAAGAGTTAAGACTTACTCTTGGTCCTGAATGAAGCATAGATTTGGAGAGAAGACATGGGCTGGTAAGCCAGGAAGGAAGCAAAAAGTGGAGTTAATAATCTTTCAGCAGAGACCAAAAGAAGTAGAAGGTAGCAGTTCTAAAAGTTCTAATAATGGTGAAGGATAACAATCATTTCTCTACTCAGTTTAGATAAACTGCACTCACCCATCACACACTCTTGGTTTAACTGCTATCTTTTAAGTGCCCCAAAGCAACTTTAGTCTCTACCAAACGGTAGTTGGTGCCTCTCAGAATGATGAAGCTACAGCTACACATCTCAAAACCACCTCTCCCCTCCAGCCCCACAACCAAACCGCCCCTCCCTTTTAGTCTGTCACAGGAAACTGGTGGCCTGAGGAGTCCCCGGGATGGGGATTCTTTTCCCTTGGCTTTTTCATGGCCCCCAGGAAAATGAGACACCAGGTGGGCACACCCGAGGCTGGGCAGACACTCCAACCTGGCCAGCCTTCCCAGGTGCTTTCTAAACATATGCCTGAGAGTGGGCCACCCCGGCCTCATCACTTAGCAAAATCAGCGCTTTCAGAAAGGTGCAGATGCTTTGCTGAAGGTTGGGGCAGGAGGGAGAAAAAGTTGCTGCCTGGGTATCGGGGAAAAATGTTCATTCTTTCTCAGGAGTATTATTTGTCTATAGTATCAATACATCCTCACTCTAACAAAAAACCCCAGCTCCTCCCATAATGCCCTCTCCCCAAAAGACGAAAGAGAACAAAGAGAGTCAACGGAGGACTCACCGTAGGCTAATGATTTTCTTCTGGTCTGGGGAGTCGGCCTCCACAGATGGGGTAGGGGATTGGGCTGTTGGCGACCTGCAGGCTTTCTTTTTCTCCTCCACACCATTCTCAGCCTCTGAGCTGAAGAAGAAAGGAAAACACTTCACCTTAGACATTCAGAGAGAGGTAGCTGGAAGGAAAACGATGAAGTAACCTGGTTTTCTAGAGAGTGGAATGATTTTCATTCCCCACTGATAGGCTAGTTAACTTTGACAGCTAGGCCCTTTCCCAATCTCCATTCTAACCCCTTGCCTGGTGCCCCAATGGCAGTAGCTGCAGGTCATACCTGTTTCACTTGTAAATGCCAGACTGTGTGGACTTGCTGGCTCCCAGGTCTGCGTTGCCCAGCTCTGTTCTGCATAGTCTGTGCTGCCCAGCTCTGCTGCTCTGCATAGGCTGTGCTGGGGAAGTCAGATCACCTGGAGGCTGGGAGGGCCCTGCACACGTGCACACGCACACGCACACACGCTCATGTGTGGCCTCCTGCAGGTGTGAGCCTTCCCTCTGGGAACCCCCACCCCTTTTGTTTGCACTTCTCTTAAGTCACTTACATGTTGCTTAACCAAGCAGTTCCCTAAGCAATTTACAGTCTCTGATCTTTACAACCACCCAGACTAGGTAGGAATTACTACCCCCATTTTATAGATGAGGAATCTGAGGCTCTTGCTATCTTGCCTAAGTTCAGAGAGCTAGCATCTCTCTTACTTGAGATTCAAACTCAGTATGTCTGTCTGCAAAGCCTTTGTGTTCTCTCTCTCCATCCATCCCCCCAACCACCTACTCATCCATTTATCCCCATAACTAACTCTTCAGTGTGAGAGCTCCAGGGTGGGGTGGGAATCTTACTCATCTTTGTCCTAACCACGGGGTCTAGGATAGTGTTGACCTACAGTCATGATCAATAGGCTTTGGAAAAACTAGGTCTGACCTTGGTAAAAGAGAAGGTGGAGGGGAGTAGAGGGGAAGGTGAGTCAAGAGGGTTTGTGCATAGAACCAACAAACAGAGGACAACCAGCATGGGGGATGCAGAAGTGGGCTCCCTCAGTCGCCCGGTGAAGATCTCTTGGGAAGCAGGGGAAACCATTTCCAATGGGAAAGTGGGAAAGGAAGGGATGTTGAAGGAAAAATACAAAATGTTTTTTATGGATCAGAACTTCTTTGGTGTGTCAGCTCAGTAAAACACAAACGATACTTCTGAGGATGTGAGGACTCCACGGAGACTGAGCGTAAAGAAAGACACGTTAAGATGGCATTGCTATAAGAGATTAGCTAATCTTCATTTTCATTTACCACCTATTTGGTATTCTCACCTGGATATGACCGTGCAGGCAGGAAATGCCACTGGATAGTTTAAACTGCCTGGTTGCTTTGCTGACCACTTTTCACAGCATATGAAAATTGCAGCCTAGGCGAGGAGTCCTGTTGTAGTGTCAGAATCAAGGCCAGTATATCTGACAAGGGTATCTAACTAATAACCCCCACAAATGGTTGATACTTTTTTTTTTTGAGATGGAGTTTCACTCTTGTTGCCCAGGCTGGAGTGCAGTGGCACCATCTCAACTCACTGCAACCACTGCCTCCCGGGTTCAAGTGATTCTCCTCCTGCCTGAGTAGCTAGGATTACAGGCACATGCCACCACGCCTGGCTAATATTTGTATTTTTAGTAGAAACGGGGTTTTGCCATGTTGGCCAGGCTGGTCTTGAACTCCTGACCTCAGGTGATCCACCCACCTTGGTCTCCCAAAGTGCTGGGATTACAGGCATGAGCCACTGCGCCTGGCCAAATGGTTGATGCTCTTAATTTTGTGGTAAGCATTTCTTTTTTCCTAGTAGATACATATCTGAGGACAGAGGCCCAACCTTCTATTTCTTCAATTCTTCTCAAAGTACTTAAAACAGTTACATACATTAAAAGGGCTTAGTCCATAACAGAATTGCATTATGTGACAAAGGTACATGGAAGGCCAAGGTCTTGAAATATTATTAGGAAAACCCTGTTTTGGTTTACATAATAATTGGACTTGATTAAACTCAACACCATGTTTAATTTGTGGACTCAAAGAATTTTAGAATAGTTAAGAGGCCTTAAAGCACATCTCTGGCTTTTTTCTCTTCCCCCAAAACACACACACATTATCTCTCTTCTTCAATAGATTCAGGCAGAAATCTACTTGAGAAGCCCTCTTTAAGTAGAGACTGGGTATAGAACTTCAATAATCCACCTCAACATTTATTCAGATATTTACTGGATTTTATGCAGGATCAGATGAAGACTTAGAGGGAGAGCCAGAGCTGTCCTGTACAGCATCTTTGTGTACAGAGAGCCACTCCGCAAAAGGTGCTCCTGGCAGAGATAAGGTGCTCCTTGCTCTGGGCAGAAGCGACCCAGCACCAACGTCAGAAGTCAGCAAAACTGAGGCTAGATTTCAGTCCCTCTTTGCCCCTGACCCATCTTGGTCAGGCTTTTGTGTGCAGTGCAGGTGACTAAGTGCTTAACCACATGAGGTGGTCCTGTTTTGGGACTCAGCTTAGCACTGAAAAGATTACAGTGCATGCCTCTAGATTGTCCTACTCAAACAATGTCTTTCAAGGATGGAACATACAGTTGGACTCAAAGTAGCTTTTTTCTACATACTCTCCACTTTATTTCTCCTTCAGCTTGTGTCTTGTCTTCAGCACTGGTTCTCTCCTGGAAGGCCCTAGCCAGGGGGCACATCCTCCACATTGCCTAAAAGTCTCTATGGTGCCTGCTGATTTTATAACTCACTAGGCATCGAATTAATTCATACCTTGTACTGGTACCTTTTCTCCCCAAAATCTTAGTTATCCAGCACTAGACTCAGTTCCTCAAAGGCAGGGAATGTCTGTTTTCTTTTCCACGGCACTCAGCTCAGCATTTGCTCACAGTGGTCATTCATAGGTTGAATAATATGGATTAATTATGTAGTATCTCAAAGAGGAAGCGAAATTCACCTACGGGTCAATTCGATCTTAGGTTTTTGCTTACTTAAAGATGCTACAGGCTCAAGCAAGTTAATTCCTCACACAGGCAAGATTATTCCTGCAAGCGTCCCTTGCCTTGGAGGTCTTGTCAGCAGCAGACTGAAACTATGTAGAATTCAAGCAGCAGAGGCTAGCGTGTGTTTGAGTGAGCAGTGTGGGAGGGGAAATGGAATGCTTCCTCAAGGCCTTTTGGAAACTTTGAAGTCAATGAAGCTGAATCAGGCCTCTCAGCAACTGTAAAGTTACGGTCAATGGAGTTGAACAGGTTTCATTTAAATCATGAAAATAAGGAAATCAGGTTTGATTTATTTTTTTTACCAGAAGACAAAGCCCTGTTACGGACTTTGACTAAAAGAGTCAACTGAAAAAACAAACCAAAAAAACCAATCCACCTATTTCAACAAATATTTACTGGACTGGTCCCTGCTGTCAGGGTGCTCAGAGCTTTGTAGGTGAGACAGGTAAGTGAGCTGGCAGTTGTTAAGTATCCATAGAAGGAGTAGAAGATGCTGGAGACACAGGACCAACCTTCACTTGACCTTGGCAGGTTATTTCTCCTCCCATCTCCAACCCACTTTAAGCATCAGTTATGGTCCCTGCCTGAAAGGTTTTTAGTAGAAATTTCAAAGCAGTGAGATAGTCATGCTTATAATAACGAAACCTGACTTCACCTATTAGGGGACAGCATTTTTATTTTTATTTATTTATTTTTTTGAGATGGAATTTCACTCTTGTCATCCAGGCTGGAGTGCAATGGCGTGATCTCCGCTCACTGCAACCTCCACCTCCTGGGTTCAAGTGATTCTCCTGCCTCAGCCTCCCGAGTAGCTGGGATTACAGGTGCCTGCCACCATGCCTGGCTAATTTTTGTATTTGCAGTAGAGACAGGGTTTCACCATGTTGGCCAGGCTGGTCTTGAACTCCTGGTCTCAAGTGATTTGCCCGCTTCGGCCTCCCAAAGTGCTGGGATTACAAAGCATAAGCCACCACGCCTGGCTGGGGAAAGCATTTTTATTACTGGCTAGGAAAATCTTGTTTCAATAAAACACTGCCACACACTATTACACAATTTATAAATACAAAAACAGGTTGTACAATCCCTATCAATCATCTAATATTTGTCACTTCCCAGACCTCATTAGTTTGATGACGACTTAAATTTGGATTTCACAATTTTTCAGAATTAGAACTCTAATGTGGAGGCAACCATCATTCCTCCTGGAGATAGTATCTGTGAGTTTCAGGTAAACTCAATATGCCTTTCTCTTGTCACATCACTGGCCCTTTGCCCCTCCTGCTGGGAATGTATTGTATTCAGGCACCATCACATGCAAGTCCAAGTAAATAAGTAGCTGAGGGCAGAAGTTATGATTAAGCTGTGTCTCAGGTGAAGGAAAACAAGTGTTACACTGTGGTTCAGTCCAAGAAGGTGTGTTCCCTTCTACTTACAGTGGTCAGTCCCTGTGTTTGAGTCTACTTACATGTTAATCTAAGCTAAAGGCATAAAAATACGTCACTAAGCTTCCTTATGGTAGCAGAAGTAGAGGTAGTTTTATATCTACCATTATTTTTAAAGAAATCTCTGATCATTTTAAAGCCACAGTCTTGACCAACAAAGGTTTAGAAGAGTCTTGAAGATAGGATACGTTTCATCAGAGGGTCTTCATAGAATAAATTCCTGGAAATGGGATTGTTGTGGTCATGGGTGGGTCTCTGAAAGTAGAGTGTTGCTGAAACCCTGGAGTGAAAACCAGGTTGGCATCTGGATTCACCAAGATCTGGGGCCTCATAGGCGTGTGTTTTCAGAGAGCTGCCTGCTCAGTGGCTCCGTGGCTGGCAGACACTCTTTGGGAAGCAAAGAGCTGGGCTATAGAGATGGAAGAGGGCTGGACAGCAGCCACAGTACAAATAAAGAGAGGCCTCACAGGGACCAAAAGAAGGAAATAGAATGGAGTGTGGAAGTACAAGAGTGAGCAATGGAGACAGGATGGCTGGGAAACCCTTTAGCTTCTCCAATTTCATAAACTCGGAATCTCCCAAATTAGATTTTTGTAAGTCAAGAAGAATGACCTTCCAT